CTCATCCTCTTCACCTTCCCACGCTCATTCTGGGGGCTAAGGAAATGCTTATCTCCCTGAGTGCGGCCTTCACCATACCATACCATTCCATCACACAGGTAGACCAGATAGGGACCACAACCTGATGAGCTAATTCTACTTTACTGTAAGGCTACGTTAACGGAATCTTGCAAGTCTGAAAGTACAAATCTCCCACCCTCCCTATTAACCCCCTGATAAGTTAGGGAGGTTCCTTTCTGAGTTTCTTTTCCCGTTAGGCAGCTGTGGGCTATGCCCCCTCTTATCTGATAATTCCCTAGGGAGCATCTCTTCTCCCCTCTCCCAGAGTCATTCCCACATACCATTACAAGAGTGCCACCTTAGGTGATGATTTTAAGAAGGTATGATTTTGCTCAGATTGGGAGAGCTGGGGTGGTGTTTCTGGATTTTAGGAAGCCTTGACCTCCCTTCCTCCTATAATTTGAACTTTCCTGCTCTTTGAAATGATACACTTGGTCCAAAGGTCTCATTCACATTTTATTCTGCAATTTGTAGGTAAATGAAACATTCAGCGACTTTTTGGCTGGTTGTCTTTGGACATGGAATTGGCTCATCATAACCAGGTTAATAGCAACAGTGGCTTTTATTTCTTCAGGAAAGTCATCTTTTCATCTGGAACAGGTAGAATGTGTTTTGTATTAAAATATAGTTTTTCTGTTACACCCTAAGTACTGCTTACAGTTAATTTGCAGAGCAAGTAAAATGCTTCTAGAGGCGTAGCTAACTCAGAGCTGGTATTCACACAACACTTTAACTGAAGTGCCTGAATCTGCCACTTCATCTAAGTTGATTAGTGGTATAATGTTGTAGGTGCTGGACTAGCAGTGAGAAGAGCCAGGTTCAATTCCATCCTCACCCACAGATGTTCCCTGAGTCACTTTGGGCCAATTCTGGGAGTTGAAGTCCACTCATCTTAAAGTGGCCAAGTTTGGACAACACTGAGTTATGCTGATGGAAAAGGATGCTGCCACTTCATCTAAGTCTGATTAGTGGTAATCTTGGTTTGCGTTTTGAGGCATAACCTTATGTGCCAATCCACCCCATTTGGTTAGTTTACAACTGAGGGTGTGGTGTAAATCTAGAAAAAAGGGTTAATTAAGTAACTAAGTTAAGCAGAAAACTGCAGGGAGTAGTCCAAGCAGTCACCAGGAGTCGACAAGGACTTGAAGGCACCAAAAAAGGAAAAAAAGTTAAACATGCTGTATGAATGGAGGCAACATATTAATTGGGACTTGGATGAAAATGTTGGAATACTGCCCAGGGTTAGCCAACTTCAGGCTGGTGGCATTTGAGTATTTAACCCTGTTTACCACTACCATAAACTCCTACCAACCAGAATGCCTTTTGCAAAATTGCTGCTTCGTTTCAGACATTCTCGATATTGAGAAAGCAACTCACCTCTGACTGTTCAGTCCATAGATTTGTGGTCAGAACCAGAACAAAGTTTCCAATCTGTTTCATACAGAAAGTCACTGCTGGTTTTCCTTTAATGTTCATTTTCAATAACATTTCAGGAGATGAATGGGTGCAAAGCTTTCAAAACGTTGATTGTTTTGAACAATTTCTTAGAAAATGTTGTGCGATCTATTAAAAATGTCCCAAGAGCAGCCAAGAGAGTCTGATCAACTTACTGCCCACCCCTAGAATCATTTACTTCCAGCTCAGTGCTTCACCCCCTCCGTTTTACTGCCTTTTCTCCCCACCCAGCTGGTGAAGATCAGTATGACCAGAAAATGTAGATCTATATGAAAAATAAATACTGGGATTGGGGGTTTTTTTCTCTCCAGTTGAGCAGAAAACAAATTTTTTTTTAATCACCTGTAGCGTCTTCCAGGACTACCTTCAGTATCAATATCAGGATCTGAATTGGATATCAATAGGATGAGAGTGGCAGAAGGATCTCTTGTCTTCCCAATTTAAGATGTAACTTTCTTCCTAATCCAAGGCCTCTAGTTGGGCTTGCCCCCAGGTGAACCCCTTTGTTTGCAAAAGTTCTTATTAGCAAATGGACAGTTTCATCTAGTCACCAAGTATCTCAGGTGACATAATTTTGCTTTTTACGGGTTCTATTATTCCCTCCGTTAAAGCTGTTTATGAGGAAAAAGAACGCTTTCCCATTTCACAGTCCACAAAACCAGCCAGAAGCATATGTGCAAACTTTGAAAATGAGTTTTTTATGGATGCATTTTGCCTCTGTTGGTTCAGTTCATAGGTGGTTTCTAACAGATTGCTGAAACAGTCTTTGTATGCTTTTTATCCAGAGATAGATGGGATGCATAATAAAGCATCTGCTATCCTATTGTTTATTAGGAATTGAAAATGTTTTTCCTAAGCAAAACAGGAGGCAGGGAAGACACAACTACATTGTGGTATAACGAAATCACAAGTGATTGGGTTTACACGGTAAGCAAGGTTAAACGAACTGCAGTATGGATTAGCACAACGAGTAACCTGGTCATTTGCGATGATTCAATAAACTGTCACTAAACTAGGGTTTAATGTGATCTGTGAACCCAGCACTCTCTCACATATGTTGGGGACAAACGGGCTCTGTACACAGTAAGGAGGACACATGAAAAACAAGGGACAGTTGAATCTTCCTTGTGTTCTCTAGAAATGGGGTGATGGTCCAACGTGGGACAGTTTAAGGCATGCTGATATTTATCCGTTTGATTTCTGTGCCGCCTTTAGTTTGCACCACTCAAGGTGGTGTGCATAATGCTCCCGCCTCCTATTTTCCTGCTTGAACTACAACAACAACCTGTTGAGGTGGGTTGGCTGAGGCCCAAAGTCCCCCAGCTGGTTTTTATGTCTAAGAAAAGACTGGGATTCACAACCTCCCAGTTTCCCGTCCAGCATCTTCACAACGGCACCAAAGGGCTCAGTCATTTAAAGGGCCAAAGAAAAACCAGAAAGGAGGCCTTGGGGCAGCAGGAGAAAAGAAATAAGAACAGAAATGAATGGCCCTCACAACTGCAGGTTGCTTGAATCCAAGGGGAGAGAGATGTTATCTCTTATCTGATTCTGTCCTAGGCAGTGTCTCTTTGCCCTGTCTCCCAAGGTCTTTCCCACATATCTTTACATCACCCTCCCCTTCAAACTCATCCCCTGCTCCCGAGTTCCCAGGGGAAACAGACTGTGGTCGGTGTGAATGAAATGTAGCTGTGTTGCTCCCCTCTTCTGCTGGTAACTCCCCGAGATCACATGAGGCATCCATAAATCAGCTGTGCCTGTAGAGGTGGTAGTTGCTCCTCCATTGGGAATCTGTTGGTCTTCTTCCCCCATGTCCTGTATGCTTGATGTGGAAGGGGCTGGATCACTTCCCATGCCCCCTACTTGGTCTCTTGTTATCCCCGAGGCGCTCTCCACCCTATAGAAGAACTCCTCCTGCTCATCTTGGTCAGTGCCTAACTCCTGCAAGGCTGGTAGGTGCCGAGGACGGGGTTGGTGTATGGAATTATGAAGGCCAGGCTCAGGGAGATAAGCATTTTCTTAGCTCGCTGCAGAAGCGTGGGAACTACAAAAGGATGAGACTGGCATCTCCCTGAGGAATTCACAGTGTTGTGGCTGGCTGACCTTGGGGCCGGGGGTTCCCTCTTGGGAGGTTTTTTCTTTAGGTTGTTTCTAA